CGGTTAAAAGTTCTGTATTTAAATGCCAGAAGTCTAAAAGCATTTGTTCATCCAATTGGGGACAAATCGGTAAAAGTTTGTAAAATCTCGTTATTGCAACAACTGACATATGGTGGTAATTACGACGTTGTATGTGTGTGTGAGACCTGGTTAAACAATTTAATCTTAAGCAGTGAGATCTTGCCTAATTATGGATCTATCTTCCGATGTGACAGAGCTGACAGAATTGGTGGTGGTGTTCTTGTTGCTGTGAAGACTGGTATACAAGTCACACGCAGACATGATCTAGAACCTGATAATACGGAACTTGTTGTTACTGAGTTAATGAAATCTAACAACAAACCAATTATACTTTACACGTTTTATCGTCCCCCCGACTCTAAACCCGATGTCCTTCAGCAGCTAAATTATTCTATCCAAAACAACCCAGAATCAAGTCGTATTGTATTGATAGGCGATTTTAATCTACCATCAGTTAAATGGTCGTCTGATCAGAAAACCCCCATCAACATCGGAGGACCTGCTGAGAATGAAATCTTTTGCGATTTGGTAGACGACAACTTCCTTCTGCAATACATACTTGGCCCTACCCATACTGCTGGGATAAACTCGATCTGTTGATGTGTAACTCTCCTGAAATCGTCGGCGACGTCTCCGTTCTCCATCCCGAGACCTGTGGTTTCCCAACAGATCACTACATCGTGGAATTTGACGTAAAGTTGAAGTTTAAAAGAGCCAAGCCAATAAAGCGCCGAGTATTCGACTATGGAAAAGGAAATTTCGATGAGCTACGTAACTTCCTGACACGATATCCCATCAATGTTACCCCAACTGATAGCATTAATGATGACTGGGAACAATGGAAGGACACTTTCTTAACTACGGTGAGAAGGTACATTCCGATGAGAACTGTCAAAGACAAAAATAGTCCACCATGGATCGATAAAGAAGTGCGTCAACTAATCCGTAAGAAGTACAAAGTTCTAAAACAATACCGCAGGAACAAATCTGCTGATCGAAAGCGTAAATTACGAAGCGTTACTCAACAAATCAAATACTTGATTCGAAGTAAACACCGAGGCTATCTGGCTAAAATAGAAAGTTCGTTCTGTGACAACCCCAACCTATTCTGGAGTTACCATAAATCAATTCTTCACCACCGGACAGGTCAGAGCAACGAAATAACATATAATGGTTTCACAGCCAAGACGGCGAAAGAAAAAGCGGATCTTTTTAACACTTACTTTTCTTCAGTGTTTCGTCCATCTTCTACCACTTGTAACCAGACGCCTCGAACGGAAAGCAAAGAGAACATCTCGGAGATAACAATCGATGTAGACGAAGTTGCGCAATTTTTGCGTGCCCTTGATACCTCGAAAGCATGTGGCCCCGACGGCATTCCAGCTCGCCTGTTACAAGTATGCGCCCTTGAAATCGCACCAAGCATATGTGAGTTGTTTAACCGTTCCTTGCATACTGGTCATGTTCCATCTGAGTGGAAATCTGCGAATGTTACACCCGTCAACAAAAAAGATCTTAAAGAACCGGCGGAACATTACAGACCAATATCGTTGCTGCCCATCGTTGGCAAAGTACTAGAGCGTTGCGTGTGCATCAGACTATATAATCATGTCAGGCACCTCGTCACAAAAGCACAACATGGTTTCCTTAGACGGCGATCTTGCGTTAGTCAACTACTATCGGTACTACACGCCATCGGGCAATCCCTTGACAAAAACGTTCAAACTGACGTTATCTACCTCGACTTTGCAAAAGCTTTTGACTCTGTCGATCACCAAATTCTCTTCCACAAGCTTGCGTCATACGGTGTGTCAGGTCATTTATATGAATGGTTCGCGGACTATCTCAGTGGTCGTCGTCAAAGGGTTGTGATTGATGGAGCTACATCTAATTGGGTGCCAGTTACATCTGGAGTGCCGCAAGGCAGTCTCCTGGGTCCTATTCTGTTTGTGATATTCATAAACGATCTTCCCGACATATTACCTGACGAGACTTTGGCAGCTTTGTATGCAGACGACACCAAACTGTACAAGTCCATCACATCAGTAGGTGACTGTGAAAGTTTGCAGCAAGCTTTAACAGACCTTGACTGCTGGAGCCGTGACAACAACCTCAATTTTAACGAGTCGAAGTGTAAGGTGTTGACAATTACAAGGAAAAAAACCCCGCTGACGTACGCATATCACATGGGCTCAAAGGAACTTACTCGTGTGAATAAGGAAAAAGATCTTGGTATATTCATAAATTACAACCTCTCATGGGACGATCATGTTCATACCATCACCGCCAAAGGGAACAAGATGCTTGGCATGCTGAAAAGAACTTGCCCTCTACTGACTAACACCGCAGTGAGGCGGACGCTGTATTTGTCACTCGTGAAGTCCCAGATAAGTTACGCCACCGAAGTCTGGTCTCCTCCTACGATCAAAATGAGATCCACAGTGGAACGTGTACAAAGGAGAGCCACCTCTTGGATACTGCAAGCCAAGCGCGGAGAAATTGCATATAAGCAGCGGCTGATAACCCTTGGCTTATTACCCCTGTGCTACGAGAGAGAAATAAAAGACTTAGTGTTCTTTTTTAAGGCACTGTATGGACATATTGATCTTGACGTGCATAGTTTCGTTTCATTTGTCAACAATGGCCGAACACGACTTAGTCGAAATCCTTCTCTCACACTCAAAATTCCTTTCTGTAAATCCAAAACATTTCAATCCTCATATTTCAACCGGCTTGTCAAGTTATGGAACCACGTCTGCAAAATTCTTCCCTCTACCACCTTTGCCAGCCTCTCCATCTTCAAAAGATCTCTTAAAGCCACTTACGCTAACTTGGTTACGGCAACATTTGACGTGGACATGCCATGCACCTGGACACTGGTGCGGGACTGCCCCTGCCACAGATCTTAAGTAGTTTTAATAGACGGTTCCTCTTATTGTGTTCACTGAATGCAACCACATTATGCTTGTGAGTTATGCTAACACATCCGTGAAGCATTCATTATGCTTGTGAGTTTGAAATTATTTTGCTAACACATCCGTGAAGCATTCATTATGCTTGTGAGTTTGAAATTATTATGCTAACACATCCGTGAAGCATTCATTATGCTTGTGAGTTTGAAATTATTTTGCTAACACATCCGTGAAGCATTCAGGTGGTTGTGTTCATGGTGCATACTAATAGGGGGAAGCGGCTTTTATATATTTGTATTCTATGTATGTGTGTATTTATATTTATGTACGTATTCGCTGCTTCGGGGTTTGCACCTTGCATGGGACTTCGCGTCTCGTTTGTGCTTATGCCATTTGAGTTCATATTAATTATACATAATATTAATTATATATAATTATATATAATATTAATTATATAATGTAATGTTCTCAATAAATATATTTGAATACTTCAGTATGCTTGCAACATATCGTAGATGGCTTCGTCTGGGTTGGTTGCGGTCGTGTCGTGCGATGGTCATAATCTTGTTGACTAACTTGTTCAATCCTTCCACTTGACCTTGTGCTTTCGGGTGACGCGGTGTGATACGTTTATGCCGGAATCCTGATTCTTGTGCGAAGTCGTTGAATGCATGCGAGTTAAACGGTGGTCCATTGTCGCTCTGAAGGTTTTGAGCAACACCGTGTGTCGCGAAGATTTTCTTCAGCTTCTTTCTCGTCGCTTCGAGTGATGTCGTGGTCGTAAATTCTACCTCTGGGTACCTGGAATATTGATCTGTTACCACGAGTGCATATCTACCATTTGGAAATGGTTCACAGAAGTGTACTTCCACAGTTGCCCAGGGTCTGCTTGGGAGCTTTGTCATCTTTGCTGGTTCTGTGTGTTTCGTTTCAGTGGACATTTGCAGACTGCGATCTCCAAGTTCATTTCCGGCCACCAATACTTATGTCGAATCATTTCTTTGGTCTTAGATAGTCCTAAGTGTCCTTGCTTGTCCGCGATTCGTACGATTTTGGCTCTTAGATTTTCTGGAGGCACGACCTTGTTCAGTCGAAGGATGACGTTTTTTTATTCGTACAGTTTGGTTGTACGTCAATGTACGGCTTTAGAATTGGGTCATTCTTGTCCCAAACACCCGTTTGCATAGCATGCTTAATATGCTGTAGCTCTGCGTTCGGTTTCAGTTGCGATTTTCTCTAGCACGACTGCGTGATCAGCTTGAGTCACTGCTCTCACGTGTTTCTCGACTCCAGTCCTTTCGCTATCTGGCAGGGCGTGTCTGGAGGTGTAGTCGGTGACGTTTTCTTTCCCAGGAATATGGATCATCGTGACGTCCAAATTCTGCATCTTAATTCTTCATGATTAGTCTTTCAATTCTAGTTGGCAACTTGGCTTGAGGGTTGTTGAAGAGTGGTAGGAGGGGTTTATGGTCAGTTGCGAGTTGGAAATGCTTGCCCCCTAGTAGGTACATCTGTAGGTGTGATGTCGTGAATTCAGCTGCTAAGGTTTGTCGTTCTGTCTGCGAATATCTGCTTTCTGTGTCGGCGAGTGTTCGGGTAGTGTACGGGTTGGTAACCATGCTGAGTTTTCTGGAAAAGTGCTCCTCCAAGTCCCGTTGGGGTACTATCACAAATGACGAGTGTCTCTCGCTCTGGGTAGTACGGTATCAGTACTGGCGTCGACGTGATTGCCTTCTTGAGGTCGTCACATGCGGTTTGCTGTTCGTTTGTCCGTTCGAATTTTGCGTTGTTTCTTGTCAATCGCCGTAGAGGCTCGCAACGGCTTGAGAAGTTGTAGCACTGCTTGAAGTTTTAGCTGTAGCACTGCTTGAAGTTTTTTGTTGTGGTCCTTCCGGTCAAGTCCGCCGATCATTATATCAATGGCGCTATATAAATATTAGTATTATTATCGTCCCGTTCTCGTACCCAGAGCCCTTCTTACGCGCTGCGATGAGGGGCTCTGGCCAAATTCAAAACCAGATACCATAAAATTGCCAGTTTGATGGGAGAGATTATTTCGCTGACTTCAAAGTTACAAAACGTGACAAAGCAACGGTTTTACTAACACTAACCCTACTCCAAACACCAACTCTAACCATAACCCTAATCCTTACCCTAACCCTAATCTAACCCTACTCCAAATTTCACATAACGTTTCTGATTGTAAGCCTAAAAGAGTAAGCATAAAATCCGTGTCCGATAATGTTGCTAAATAAACAGCGACCTCTAAAGGAAGATTATCGTTTACCCAGTCCCACAATAGTTCACGCTCGTTTTGCGAACCTAAGCAATAAAGCAGAGCATGATTAACAGGATTTAAATAGTTACGATTGCATGAGTCACAACAGTCAATGTACGTATTAGGGTTATCCAGACGCTTCCCCTGACCTTGTATGAGCCACAAATTAGTCTTAAGACGTTATTAATCTCCTGCATGAAGGATGGATTCTTTCTTGCTATTATCCACCAGTGAGAAACTTCATTCTTTGTATGAACCTTTGAGTAGAGATATAGTTGATTGTTCTTACTAGTCTTTTCTCGCCAGACACGATCATATTGCTCTCGAACATGTTTATTGACAGTCTTTTACCATAGAGTTTTTATAGGGAAATCATTTGTGAGAATATAAGTGATTAAAACTTGCAAAAGGTCGTACTTTGCGAGAATTTCAACAATGTCTGGCACAAATCCGGTTAATTTTTTGCCACAGTTCCACTTCCATCTTAGTAACCTAATAAAAAAGACACGGCGGCATGGTGCACCGGCACCCATGTTTACCAATCTTCCCAAAAAATAAAGCTTTCGCTTATCTACTGTATCTCGGCTTCGATTGAAAGTAAGCCGAGAAGTCCCCGTGCTGCAGACCCAGACGTTCCTGGTAATAGTCCCTGCATGATCCTGACCATGATATTTTGGACCTTTTCTAACTCAATATAATTGTTCATTTTCAGCTGCCATAGCTCTGATCCATACAGGAACTTTGGAATGCCAATCTTACGCCATAAATTAGACGAAACCGTAGGATTTAATCCTCCGTAGCGAGTATCAACAGCCATTAACATAAAACAGGCTTCTCTACCCGCACATGTTGCTTTTGAAACGATTTCCTTACTGTCTCTATTTGCAAGCCAAAGTTTTCCGATTTGACCACTACCCCTTTTCAGATAAAATCTGGGAACCAAGTTTCCAAGCTCTCGACCTATTGTTTGCTTCATGTTCTTGCTGGCTCTCTCCAAATATTAATATAACTGTTTTCGTAACACTAAAATTAAATTTCCATTTTTGGCTGTATTCCCATGCAGTCTTTACCATCCTGTCTAACCCGGATTTCAGGCGCGATAACATTGTTAAATCATCTGCGAACATGTGTGAGCCAGTCAGTCAGTCGGCTAAATTAACACATAGTGTTCATCAGGATGTTGCTTGGTTTAAATTAAACATCACACACAGACTAAAAACGAATATTTTTAGCCTCGTTTGGAAGCTTAGAAATGTATGCTGACACGAATGTGTGTTGTGGACTTCTAAGTTCTCGGCAGCTAATTGCATGTAACCGGAAAACTTCTGTTTATAGCAGACAAATGTGCACAAAACTGTGAATAGAATAGAACAAATACTTATTCAATAAATATTAAACAACATGAAATGCACTCAAATAACTTTTCACATAAAATTTCCCCCTCTCCCCCACTTAATTTTGCCATTATTTCCCCTCATTTTAAAAGTAATTCAATAACATTGTGTTGGGGAAAAGGTGGAGGGGGTTGGGGGGGGGGGTGGATCTACAATCTAACTATCACAAACGCAAACAACATTTTACTAACAAGTTATGTCCGCGATTGTAGTACAAAACTACAAGTACCTTTTTCGAACACATGTTATACTAACTTTCAAATTTTCAAGTTTCTTTTTTCAACTTTTAGAGCGCGAATTATCTGCACAAGTTAGCTGGTTGTATTCACTGCTATAACAATGGCCTCCAAAATTAAAGGTAAAATGTCCTGAAATGCTAAAAAGTCCAAATTATATAATTAAGCCCGTAAATTTATCATAAGTGCACATAGGGATTTAGCGATTCCATCCACCTAATCTATTCCTGTATGTTTTTGTTTCAGAACTACCAACAAAAAGGGATTAATTAAAGAGGTAAATCAATGCCTTCCAAAAATAACATAGCCCATCACGGAAAGTATTCACAAAATAGTATTTCAAATCGCGAATCACCAGTAATATTAAAACACATAACACGTTATATTTTGGGTGATGCCTATGAAAGATTAGAGGAGATTTGAAAGGCCATCGACCATTACAAAATTTTTATTAATTTGCACTGAAACTGCTAATTAGTTAGGGATGATAAGAAGCAATAGAAATTTGGGTGATACTTATCATACTTTAGGAGAATATCACAAGGCCATTGACTATTACAAAACAGGTCTAGAAATTAGCATTGCTATTGGCGATCAGTCGGGAATAGCAAGCAGCAATGCCAATTTGGGCAATGCCTATCATAGTTTAGGAGAATATCAGCAGGCCATAGACTTTCACAAAAAAGATCTAGAAATAAGCACTACTATTGGCGATTGTTCAGGAATAGCAAGAAGCAATTGCAATTTGGGCAATGCCTGTCATAGTTTAGGAGAATATCAGAAGGCCTTTGACTATCACAAAAAAGATCTAGACATAAGCACTGCTATTGGCGATCGGTCAGGAATAGCAAGAAGCAATGGCAATTTGGGCAATGCCTATCATAGTTTAGGAGAATGTCAGAAGGCCATTGACTATTACAATGCAGGTCTAGAAATTAGCATTGCTATTGGCGATCGGTCAGCATTAGCAAAAAGCAATTGCAATTTGGGCAATGCCTATCATAGTTTAGGAGAATATCAGCAGGCCATAGACTTTCACAAAAAAGATCTAGAAATAAGCAGTACTATTGGCGATCGGTCAGGAATAGCAAAAAGCAATTGCAATTTGGGCAATGCCTACCATAATTTAGGAGAATATGAGCAGGCCATTGACTATCACAAAAAATATCTAGAAATAAGCACTGCTATTGGCGATCGGTCAGGAATAGCAAAAAGCAATCGGAATTTGGGCAATGCCTATGATGGTTTAGGAGAATATCAGATGGCCATTGACTATCACAAAAAGGATCTAGAAATAAGCACTGCTATTGGCGATCGGTCAGAAATAGCAAAAAGCAATGGCAATTTGGGCAATGCCTATGATAGTTTAGGAGAATATCAGAAGGCCATTTACTATCACAAAAAAGATTTAGAAATAAGCACTGCTATTGGCGATCGATCAGGAATCGCAAGAAGCTATTGCAGTATGGGCATTGCCTATGATAGTTTAGGAGAATATCAGAAGGCCTTTGACTGCCACAAAAAAGATTTAGAAATAAGCACAGCTATTGGCGATCGGTCAGAAATAGCAAAAAGCAATTGCAATTTGGGCAATGCCTATGATAGTTTGGGAGAATATCAGAAGGGCATTGACTGTCACAAAAAAGATCTAGAAATAAGCACTGCTATTGGCGATTGGTCAGGAATAGCAAGAAGCAATTGCAATTTGGGCAATGCCTATTATAAGTTAGGAGAATATCAGAAGGCCTTTGACTATTACAAAAAAGATCTAGAAATAAGCACTGCTATTGGGGATCGGTCTGGAATAGCAAAAAGCAACTGCAATTTGGGCAATGTCTATGATAGTTTTGGAGAATATCAGAAGGCCATTGACTATCACAAAAAAGATCTAGAAATAAGCACTGTTATTGGCGATCGATCAGGAATCGCAAGAAGCTATTGCAGTATGGGCATTGCCTATGATAGTTTAGGTGAATATCAGAAGGCCATTGGCTATCACAAAAAAGTTCTAGAAATAAGCACTGCTATTGGCGATCGATCAGGAATAGCAAGAAGCAATGGCAATTTGGGCAATGCCTATCATAGTTTAGGAGAATATCAGCAAGCCATTGACTATCACAAAAAAGATCTAGAAATCAGCACTGATATTGACGATCGTTCAGGAATAGCAAAAGGCAATTGCAACTTGGGCAATGCCTATCATGGTTTAGGAGAATATCAGAAGGCTGCTGACTACCACAAGAAACATCTAGAAATAAGCACTGCTATTGGCGATCGATCAGAAATAGCAAGAAGCAATGGCAATTTGGGCAATGCCTATCACAGTTTAGGAGAATATCAGAAGGCCATTGATTATCACAACAAAAATCTAGAAATAAGCACTGCTTTTGGCTATCTGTTAGGAATAGGAAAAAGCAATTGCAACTTGGGCAATGCCTATGATAGTTTAGGAGAATATCTGAAGGCCATTGACTATTACAAAAAACATCTAGAAATAAGCACTGTTATTGGCGATCGATCAGAAATAGCAACAAGCAATGGCAATTTGGGCAATGCCTATCATAGTTTAGGAGAATACCAGAAGGCCATTGACTATCACGTAAAACATCTAGAAGTAAGCACTGCTATTGGCGATCGATCAGGAATAGCAAGAAGCAATGGCAATTTGGGCAATGTCTATCATAGTTTGGGAGAATATGAGAAGGCCATTGACTATCACATAAAAGATCTAGAAATAAGCACTGCTATTGGCGATCGATCAGGGCTAGCAAGAAGCAATGGCAATTTGGGCATCGCTTATTATAGGTTAGGAGAATATCAGAAGGCTATTGGCTATCACAAAAAAGATCTGGAAATAAGCACTGCTATTTGCGATCGGTCAGGAATGGCAAAAAGCAATGGCAATTTGGGCATTGCCTATGATAGGTTGGGAGAATACCACAAGGCCATTGACTATCACAAGAAACATCTAGAAATAAGCACTGCTATTGGCGATCGATCAGGAATAGCCGTAAGCAATTGCAATTTGGGCAATGCCTATGATAATTTAGGAGAATATCAGAAGGGCATTCACTATTACAAAAAAGATCTAGAAATAAGCACTGCTATTGGCGATCGGGCAGGAATAGCAATTTGCCTCGGCAATTTAGGAAATTCCCATCGATGTCTAGGAGAGTATAAAGATGCAGCATCTCTACTAATAAAATCAATTAGTTTTCTTGATAAAATTTTTTTAGATTTAGTGCCAGAACAAAATCAACTGGCATTCGTTAAGCAATATTTCATATCTCATACAATTTTAATGAGTTGTTTCCTTTCGTTGGAGCGCGCTGACTCCGCATTATTAGTGATTGACCTTGGTAGGTCTAAAGAGCTGCATTGCTGTATTGAAAAACGTAGGAATTCTGTTGGTAAGGACTTGTTCGATTATGCCCGTTCGATATGGAGTAGAATTGAGGCCAAAGAAGAACAAATAGAAATAGAAGGCTTGCAAGCACTTCTCCAACTACGAAGAAATGACACCACCGTTTTAGTATTCGCTTTTGATTTAGAAGGTGTTCTTAATGCTTGGGTTTTAACTGACAAGGTTATCTTCAGAAAAGTTTTACACGCACGTCGGGAAACATTTCTTCTGCTAATTATCGAGCTTCTTGGAAGGGTAGATGTTAATATTGATCGAAATTCTTCCTTTTACATGCTCGATTCAGTTGCTAATACTAATAATCAAGTAATGTCTCCTTTTGAGTTCCCATGCGGAACGCCTGCCTCTAAAAATGCGGTTGGCAATCCTGCCAGCTATTGTCATTTTTCTGATCGAAACATTTTGGAAATGTTGTTTAAACGTTTAGTTGATCCTGTAAAAGATATTGTTAAAGGCGATAAGCTCATTATTGTTCCTGACACGCTGTTGTTTTTTGCACCATTTTCGGCACTGATTGATGAAAATGGCTCGCATATATGTAACAGTTACAGTGTTCAAATTTCGCCTTCATTGCATACGCTAAAGTGTACGATGGAACAATCCTTCGACTCAAACTTTGGATTTGCATTGTTTGTTGGTAATCCAATTGTTGGAAAAGTTAGTTTAAACGGAAAAGATGTTACACCGGCTGCTCTGCTAAATGCCGCTGAAGAAGTTAAATGTCTCTCAAAGCTTTTTCAAGCAAGACCTTTATTAGGACGCGAGGCAACAAAACATGTAGTATTACAGCTTCTAACTGGAGCTAGTATAATCCATATAGCTGCCCATGGAGAACCGACTCGAGGTGAAATAATGCTTGCTTCAAATTCTTCTCTTACTGAACAGTGCTCGCCCGTTCCTAAGCCAGAATCATACCTACTCACGCAGCGGGATATTGTTAATATTTCTTTGCATGCTCGCTTGGTAGTTTTATGTTGTTGCCATACCGGGCAAGGGGAAATTACTTCAGAAGGTGTCATAGGTATAACTCGAGCGTTTCTTGCAGCTGGGGCACGCTGTGTTCTTGCCACGCTGTGGCCTATTAGCGATTATGCCACAAAAGAATTCATGGAGAAATTTTATGGTGAACTTTGCCAAGAAACACCTGTTTGTGAAGCTTTACGAAGAACAATGAACTTCTTTCAGACACATGAAAAAGAGGGATACCGATCCAGTTGGATCTGGGCTCCGTTTACCATCTATGGGGAGGATGTGAAGTTTGGAAAAGATGAGATTGAAAAAATTAGGGACAAATCGCATGAGTTTTTTTCCGGTTTCGTTGTGGTATGACTATGATCCTATTGTTTGTAACTAGCGTATTCATCTTCAGCAGGTATCACCCGAGTGCGAATAATTTGAACGCCGTCGACCTTTACCTTAGTCTCATTCGTAATCATAGCATGACTTAAAATTGTATTACCATGCGGTAGTATGGAATATTTTAGGCTGAGCATTCTGTTATTATATGTTGCTACTTGCAGCTTCGACTGTTCAGAATGGCTAATTAATTAATGTAGCTAGATATATTAATTGTTATTTTGATATTTGTTTTGGAGAAAATATAATTGACTTTTTTCAGGAAAACGGTTGGTTTGATTCAGTTACGTTGCTGTTGATCAAATGTTTTAGCTTATATCGTGCTTGACGACAATGGACAGAAAAATATTCTGTAATAGAAATGTCAAAATTATTACCGGCTTTGTTTGACAGGAAAGTAGTAGAGTTTTGCTTCTGTTAATGGAAGAGGGCTTTAATGACATTAAAGTTGCCAAGTTGCTGTAGTTCGTACGTGCTTTCGCGGAAAATTGAGAGGAAAATATTTGATTTTGGAAGGTGTTGTACAGAATTGTTTGTGCGTTGCCAAGCACAGGGAGCAGAGGAGTCGAGTTTATCTACTAAAAGAAGACGAACACCGTCTTACCTGGTTAATTGTAGTATATTTCATTGTAGAATTCCACTATGGCATTAAAAATGCATATTTATTCATCAAACTTATCGAATACAAACCAAACTATTTACCAAAATATAAATTTCAATATTATTATACTCCGCTGCCTTGAATTACCGTCGACTCGTATTTTCCGAAAAGCTAACGAACACTGGCCGAGAGAGCAACGAATAAGAAACGAAGAAAGGTAGGAAACATTGCAGATCTTTCGTCGCATGTGCACTGCAACACCCTTATGATGGAAGTGAATAAAACCGGAAGACGCATTGGCCATTGACCAATGACGAAGTAGAATTTCATTTGACAGTTGTACGTGTAATTAGTATTCGAAAAATTTAAATCAATCATGCATCTACACGAAGCAATACGTCACTTCCGTCATAGGGTGTTGCAGTGCACATCGTACGAAAATAATCGATGAATATTGGGCGTCAAATATGTGGGTTAAACAACCGTTTAGTTGAATTCTTATTATTTAAATTTTCTAGCGTAGTAAGAATAGATAATTCCTTGATTGTATACAAAATATATATATATATA